AGCTTGAGTGCTGCGAATGAGCTATTTGCGACCCTCCCAAAGCTCTGAGACTGCAGGGGAAAGTTGCTGAGGGCAGGGCCCAGCTTTTCCCCATGAGTGCTCTGACCGGGGAGCACCCCCGGGGATGTTGCTGGACGACGGAAGTCTGGAGTACAGAGGACGGACCTGTGGTGGCACAGCTGCACCGCCGTCACGCTTCGGCGAAGACACTACTGTGCTGATGGCAGGGCGTCTCTCCTGTCGGCGCGGTTAATCTACCTCAACGAGGGGCGGTATCTGTAGCGACGGGAAAAGCCCTCCCGTCAACCTAATGCTGGCTACACCAGGGGTTAGACTGTTCACATCCCTGAGCAATGTATTTATGCCAGTGTCAGTTTATAGCAGGGGTGGCCAACCCGCGGCTTGTGAGCCCCATGTGTCTCTTCAAAGGAAAAATTGCGGCTCCCGCACCCGCGGCTGTTCTGCGTTCCCCTGCTCTGACCTTTTTTCCTTGTCCGGTCAGGGTGCCGCTTGGGGCAGCGAAATCTGACGCTGTGGCTGACGGAAGCCTGCTTGGGCCACATGCGGACATGTGGCTCTTAAAGAGACAGCACTTTTTGGGGGAGGGGGGGACGGTTTCTCAACAACTTCTTTCCCTCGGCTCTTTGCGCTGTATCCACGGCTATTTTGGCTCTTTGTCTGTAATGGGTTGGCCACCCCTGGTTTAGAGTGTAGACCTGAGACCTGGTCTGCACTTCCTGGATTTTGTGCCATGTTCAATCTGAACTAGATTGAATTTAGTTTTTGAGGAAACGTTTTTTGCTTGAAGCATGTGTTTGTGAGAGCTAGTCGATTGGAATCCTCCTGCCGAATCTGGTCTACGCTACAAAGTAAGGTCGGCTTAATTACATGACTGATACTGCTGCATGCAACACAATTAAGACGACCTAAGCCCTGGTGAAGAGACGGCTGGTAATTCTTCTGTCCATCTAGCTACTGGCTCTCGGAGAGATGGGTTTACAGCTGTGGAGGAACCTCTTCTGTCCCTGTAATGTCTACACTACAGTATTTCTAGTGTAGACATGCCTGCAGCTTTGGCAGTAACATGCAGTCTGATCTTAGGCTGTTCTTTACTCGCCTGTGTCTGAATTGCCACCTCTGGAAAATGGAGATTATTTCATGTAATTAGAGCTGTAGAACTGCAAAAGAGTCCTGTTTTGCTCCCCGTCTGCTGGTCAGACCAGGGAGACGGGGAGCAAAGCCTTGGAGGACGCCCGCAGCGGGACAGCTGCGGCGCACCTGGGCTGTCCCACTGCGGGCGTCCTCCGCGGCTTTCCTCCACGTCTCCCTGGTCTGCTGGGGGGGGGGGCGTGGG